ACTCAGTTGCTTTTCTGCCCCAGGGGACTTCAGGCCCCCCCCTCCCCCGTCCGAGGATCCCGGCAAGAGGCACCAGAGGAAACCAGAGATGAACAGGGCGAACACCGTGTCTGTCAGATCCTGGGACACAGCGGGCGGGAGGGCCGGGCTGCAGCGAACCCCGAACCCTGAGGGGCCCAGCCCCGCCCCTGCCTGCCCCTGCTCTGCGCCTCAGTTTCCACATCTGCCCAGCACCGGCTGATGGCTGCTGTACGAGTTACACGGCCAAAGCGCTCGCTCCCCGGAGCCCAGGGCCGGGCGTGCGGGGGCGTTGGTCAGGTGAGGGAGGCAGACGCCCCGCTGGCCCCAAGGGTCCTGATCAGTCCGACGCCTTCTGGCACATTCTGGGTGCTGGGATGTCGTGGGGAACAGACCAGCTGGCCCACGTCGCTGGCCTTCTAGGAGAGGCTAAGAGGGGATAAGCCACCCAACAATATGGACGGGGCTCCTGCAGAGCAGACCCCAGAGGGAGGGGACCTGGGGACAGAGGGGACAGCCTCTCGGGCCAGCGATGAACAGGAGTGACAAGCCTCCAGGCCCCTTGCCGCCATTGGAGGCGACAGTGAGGACGGGGTCCCGGGGCACCTGCGACCCGGTGTGGGGGGCTGACAGGCAAAAGGCTCCTCGCTCTACCCCATCCCCAAGCCTCTGGCGTCCCTAATCTTCCACAGTGACGAGCGGCGGCTAAAATGGGGCCAGGGACGGGCTCGGTGCGCTCAGGCTGGAGAGGTCTTCCTTTCTGCCAGACCCGCTCATTTCTCTCGCCTGAAATGGGGACCGGAGAGCAAGTGACAGCGCAGCCTCCCAGGTCCCCAAAGCCAGGTGCGTCTGTACTTCTGGCCACCTCACAATACCAGGGTCCTCGGAGCTAGTGGGAATAGATGGAATTTCTACTCATAACACAGTTTACAGATATAGAAAAAGGAGAGTAATGAGGAAGCTTGTGTCCTCGGGCTGTAACAATAAATGACCATAACCTTGGTGCCTTAAAACAACAGAATTTACTCTCTCCCGCTTCTTTTTAAAGTTTATTTTGGGAGAGAAGGGGGAGGGGCAGAGAGGGGACAGAGAATCCCAAGCAGGCTCCACGCTGTCCGCGCAGAGCCAGATGCGGGGCTCGAGCTCATGAACCACGAGATCACGACCAGAGCCGAAATCCATAGTCAGGCACTTAACCGACCGATCCCCCAGACACCCCTCCCTAATTTCTTATGAGGACACCAATCATGGGATTTAGGGCCACCCGAACCCAGGAAGATCACCTCTCCAGATCCTCACCTAATTGCCTATTTCCAAAAACACTCCCATTCTGAGGTTCTGGGTAGACCTGAACTTTGGGGGACACTGTACCCCCAATAAAGATCACCTACGAAACGTCACCAGGATACTAATGGTAGCATTACCCCATTTTCTCCAGATCGCAGACTCTTAGATATTGATAGAAGGCAAAAGACAATTTCTGTCGCCGCTTCTGTTCCTAACGACCATTGGCGGGAGGGAGATGGCGGGCTGGGGGGGGGGGGGGAGTCAGTCAGCCCTCCCTGTCCCTGAGGAGCTGTCCCAGGTGAGGACCCAGGAGGCTGGGCCGGCCCTTCCTCCCTTCCTCAGGGAGTCAGGGAGACGGAGGCTCAGGAAGGGAAGAGCTTGCCCAAGGTCATGCATTTGCTTCTGGATTCTTCCCTGTCCCACTGAGGCAATCTCCCATTTTTGTGGCTCAAGGGTCCCTAAATGCACACACATCAGAGACCCGAGAGGTGAGGGGGGCCTCTGTCAAGACTTTCGAGGTGGACGAGTGGCACTCAGGCCAGAGACAGGAGGAAAAGGTGAAGAGCAGGCTTTGAAGGTCAAGGGTCACTAAAAACAAGGGGAAGGAAGGGCAGAGAATCCTAACACGGAGCAGGTGAGCCGGCCCTCCCACACGCTCTCCTCTGGCCCCCTGGCCCCCAGGTCACTCCAGATGCAGAGTTTCTCCGGGACCCAGCTCGGAGGAGCGCTGACATTTAGTAGTTCTGAGTTGGCGTACTGTTGACCCGTACTAAGCACGCAGGCCAACCCCCCACCCCCCCGAGGAGCTGGGAGGGGGCTTCGAGTCACGTCCACAAACTCTCTGACCCTCTTCCCCTCTGGAGGCGAAGCGTGTCCCCTGCCCTCGAACCTGGGTGGGCTCTGGCGGCTGTCCCCCAGACTAGAACGCAGCAGAAGGGACGGCGCGCGGGTCTGAGACTGGGTCCGGGAAGTGGAGAGAGGTCGACCAGCCCCGGACTCAAGAGCAAACTATGTGCTGTTTTAAGCCCCTTCGTGAGGACAATCTGTCGCACAGCGATAACTACCTGGACCATGATGGGTGCTATGATCTCCCCTTGTTGATGAAGACAACTGAGACCCAGAGAGGTTAGGCTTCTCACCCAAAGACACACAGCCAGGGAGGCAGATCGGGGAATCGAAGCCCTCCGAGCTCGTGGACCAGTCAGGGGCCCCAGGCTAACTAACGAGGGCCCGGCATTGCCAGCAGGCCGCCCAAGCCAGCGCTGAGCCCAGGTCTGGCGATTAAACCACCCTAAACCACCCGCTCCGACCCGCTTCTTCACCTGCAGCTTCCTTTCCTGGCCGAGGACCTCCAGAGAATCCCCGCCCCAGATAAAGCAAAACTTACTTGCAAACCTGTAAATGGCTGGTCTGGTTTACTTACTGAAAAACAAAAGCACGAACGACGCCACCCCCCACCCCCACTTCTCTTCCTCGCTGCCAGAGATGCTGTCACCAGACCTTCTCGGTTTATAAACACCCCCACCGCCCGAGGAGGCTGGTCCGGGCCCATCAGCACCGGCAGCGGGGAAGGTCAGCCCCTGCTGGCCCTCAGGGGTGCCCCAGGCGCAAGGCCGGGTGCTGGCTGCCCCCGCCTCTCACTGCAGCACACAATGACCGCGCCCTGTCCCCCCCGCCAGAGCCCAGCCCCTTGTAGACTGGCAGGCGGCTAGGTGATCCCAACCCCACTTTGGGGGCGATCCACCCCACGACCTCTCCAGGTGGAAGAAAAAGCAACACCAGCTGAAGCTGACGAAGCTGATGGCCCGCAGGTGCCGTTCCTAACTGGACAGGTGCGTGTTTCCAGGAGGGCAGAGCCACAGCACCTGCTCAGATGAGGACTGCAGCACAGAGAGGGGAGGTCACCTGCCCGAGGTCACGCAGCACGGGGGGCTAAGAGAACAGGCTCCCCAGCGGCCACGGCGCTAAGAGATGAGAACGGCCAAGCCCCCGCAACAGGACATAGGGTTCAGCTGGGGAGAGGCTGCATGGCGGGCGGGGGCAGTCCTCACAGCGGCCCTCACTTCGCACCTGACAGATGCCGTCCATTTGCTATGGAGCCGGGGACTGCTCTCTGGGGCCGTGGGTGTGTGGCGGGGGACGTGGTCCTGGGGTAGAACTGCCCGGGGCCCCCATCATCTCTCCCCTCACCACCTCACCAGCTGTGTGACCATGAGCAGTGAGCTGAACCTCTCTGAGCCTCAGCTCCCTCACCTGCAACAGTCAGAAGGGGGTGGGATCACCCAGCCGGCCCTTCCCCGCGCAGCCTCCTTTTCCCAGCACAGCCCTCACCGTCGCTACCACTGGGCTTCGGAACCAGGTAAAGCCCTCGCAGCTCCAAAGAGACCGGGTGACACGGGTGTGTGAAGCCTGCGGTCCGACCATCCGCTGGGGCAGATGGCAGCGCGTGGCCCCAGAATCAGCCTATTTGGGGGTCCCTGGGGAAACCAAAGTCCTCGAGGTGCTGAGTGACCTGGCCAAGGGCATGCAGCCGGCCAGGGGCGTCTGAGGCCCCTCGGGGGCAGGAGGAAGGGCCAGCGGAGAGGAGAGCCGAGCAAACCCTTCAGGGGGAGCCGGGTAGGCTCATTTGGCGGAGAGGAAAAAAGCCTCCACCTGGGTCTAAGCCGCGGCCCCCGCGCCGACACCCCCCAGGAAAGCTCTGGAAACCACCTAAGCCGACATCTGATGGACGGGGATTTGTTTTAAGCTCTTTCTACCCACTGGACTATAATCATCAACTGTTCATGACCTCTCCACAAGCCATCCCTCCCCCTTCCCCCCCCCCCCGAGTTTTCAAAAGGCAAAAAGCTTTAAAAGCTGCAGTTCAAACAGGCGGAGAAGCATACGCAGAGAGACGCAGGGCTGGGTGGGGGGGGGGGGGGGGGGGGGGGGGGGGCCGGGAGACCCCAGCAGGGTGAGCCGAGGCTGGGCTCAGAGTGGGGGGCGGCGCCCTGGGGCCAATCAGGTCCCACTGGCCAGTCCCCTCTCCCCAAACTGGCCCACCTGGAAGAGAAGGCCACGGGGGAAGGGCACCTGGAGGTCAAGGTGCCCAACCTTTAGCAGGGGTGGGGAGCTGAGCTGATGAGAACCTGCCCAGCCTGGGTTTCCGTCCGCTAGGGCCTTCGCTCGGTCACCCCCCTCGTCTGCCCTTGGCTGGAGCCCCGGACCTGGGGGCCCAATGCCACGTGCACACCATCAGCTTACAGGGGTGCCCCTGGGCCTCAGGGGTCTGCCCTCTCCAAAAGGGGCTGGAGCCTCCCCGGCCCTTCTTACCTTCTCACCACCTAACTAGCCACCAGCAATTCGAGGTCGCAGCCTTGACACGGTGAGAAAGCTCGCCTGCTCAGAGGGCCCCGACGGGCCCAGGTGACACTATGATGGCTCGGGAGGGGCGCAGGTTGTGACAAAATAGTGCACAAGGGGGAACAAACACCCGGCACCACACACCCCAGGGCTGGTGTCCTGGAGGCATGCGGGGCGGCCCAGCTGCAAAGCGGCCACAGGCCCCTCAGTTGCGGCAGGCAAGCCACCTCCCTGGACAAAATCTGGGGACTCCCCAAGCTTCTCATCCCCCAGACCCTGGCCCCACGGCAGATGGGGCTTTTCTACTTAAAAATAATAATAATAATAAATCGATTGGCTTCTGAGTTGACAGGATGAGGAGGCCTTGGGAGGCGTCCCTGGGGGGCACGTGCCTGGGCCTGGAGCTAATCCGGGGTCACAGGACAGGGCGCGTGGGCGGCGGGCCCCCAGAAAGTTCCATCCCGGGCCCTCCCCCTCTCCACCGGCGGCAGACCCGTCACTTACTGAGGCTCTGGAGCAGGTTCGACCAGGTCTTCGCACCCAGCATGGTGTGCCACCCCCTCCAGGGCCGCGGGGGCTCGGGGGGAGGGGGTCTAGGAGGAGCTGCCCGGCATCGCCAGCGGCCTGGGCGCGAGGGTCACCAAACGGCGGGAGGTGGGGGGCGTCCAGGCGCGCTGGGGCTGTGAACCCCGGCGGTGCCAAGGGGATCGGGGGTCACGGGGCAGCCCGGAATGTCCCTACGGGGAACCGGGCGGGGGGGGGGGGGTTGGAGCCTCGGACTCCTGGGGGCGGCCGCCCTCCGTGCGCCCTGCCCGCTGCGCCCCCGTCTGCCTGCTGCGGGGACTCAGGGGAGGTGCCGCGGCGCCGGGGCGGGGGGAGGGGGGGCGAGCAGCCTGTCACGCCGCCCCCAGGAGCGCCCCGCGCCGCCCGCGCCCCCTCGCCCGCGCCCCCGCCGGAGGCTTCGCGCACCAGCAGCCGCGGCTACGCGGCCGCCTCGCAGCCACCATTTTATTCCCTTCCCGCTCGGCCGGGCCGCGCGCCTCCTCCCCGCCGCCCCCCGCGCGCCGCGGCGCCCCCGCCGCCCTCCCCGCTCCCGGCGGCCCCGCCCGCTCCCCGGGCAGCCCCCGCTCCCCTGCACTTGATAACGCGCTTGTCAGGACTGCTGAGTTGTTCCTGACCTCTCCCCCGCCGCTGCTAATTAAGGCTCCGCCGTGACAGTTCAAGTGCGGAGCATCAAGTTTGCAGAACCAAAGCCTCTAATTGGGGCCGCTTTTCATTTCTCCATCCCGCGGGCTGGGGCTCCCCGGACCTGGGCACTGGCGCATTTTCCTTTTGTATTTTCCATCAGGGAGGAGGAGGGGGCCGGGCTCCCGGAGAGGAGGGCAGGCAGGCAACCGAAGGGCTAGGGGTGGGGGCCCTCCTCCGCCCTGTAGGACGCGTCCCTGGGAAGCCACCCGACCCCTCTCCCGACCTGGGGTCTCCGAGCTCCCCGACCTGGGGCTGCAAGGAGCCGAGCCCCGCCCGCGGGAGGCGACTGCAGGGGCACCCTGGCGGGGGTGTGGCAGGGAGGCGCAGCCCCCATCCTCCACTCCGCTGCGCACCCGCTGGGGGTGGGGGTGCCCCTGACCTCGCGGGCTTGCGCCGCCCCCTCCCCGCCGGGGAGGTGTGTTCCCCACGCCCCAGCGCGCCCTCCCGGGGCTGCCGGCCCCTCCTTTCCAGATAAGTGCTGGCGAGCACGGGGCTCTTAGTGACTCTTCAAGCTGCCTTTCTCCTCCAACGCCCACTAAATCAAGCCGGCGCTGAGAGCCACCGGCTGGGAGGAGAGGAGGGAGGCGGGGCGGGGGTGACTGGGATAATGTCACCGGGAGGAGGGGGGAGGAGGCGAGCCAGAGGCCCAGACCCCGGCTGGAAGAGGAGGGGAGGGCGGGGCGGGCGGACCGCCGGCAGGCAGCCCAGCGGGAGGTGCCCGGGGTCCTAGTGGCCGCCTGGCCACCCTGGAGTCTCAGGCCGCCAAGGGGCTCTGCGTCTCCCACACCTGAGGGCGCCTGAGAATTCCAGGTGCTTCTAATTAACCGGAGCCGCGTTCTTTGGGGCCATCACCCAGGTGATTCTTCAGACTCAAGTGTGAGAGACAGGCCGCCCCAAGGGGGCTCGAAGAACCCCCGCCCCGTTAGAACACCCTGGGGCAATCCGAACCCGCCCCACCCCAGCCCCCCAGATCACCTGGGGCTCCCCCAGCGCGATGACTTCAACCTCTGGGCTGGACCCAGACCGCATTAAAGCACCCAGGGGGTTCCCGAAAGCAGCCATTGTTCTAGGCAGCGATTCTCCATTCTCGGTGGGGCTGGGGACTGTTCGGCCCTCTTCCCGCCGCCCCCCTGCCGTCCCCCGTATTTGGCAAGGTCTGGAGACTTTTCTGGTAATGGGGGGCACGACTAGCATCTAGTGGGGGGAGGCCAGGGCCGCTGCCCCCACACCGCGAGGAACCACGGAGCCCCAGATCTCAGCGCCAGCCTCAGGCAGGCTCCCAGTGGGTAGCTGGGTCTCCCCCCACTCAGAACCCCTCCTCCCCGGGAGGCTGGCACCAAGCTGGGCCTGCTCCTCTAGGACTTCTTCCTCCAGCTGAGCTGAAATCCCCTAAACTTCCGCCCCGGGGCAGGCCCCTCCCCAGCCGCCATCACACCTGCTACCTGCCTGCAGCCACTTCCAGCCTCCAGCAGACCAGATGCTCTCCCCACCACCCCACCCCGGTTCCTCAGCTCACTCCCCACCACGGCCCCAGGTTCTGGAAAGTTCCTGGGTTTGTGGACATCCTTCTGAGAGTTCAGGCCTGCAGCACCCTGACGGCCCCTGTGTGTGTGTCCTATGTCTCAGTGCTCCAAAGACGACCTCCCCCCACATCAGTCCCCCCCTCCCATCCCCGTCCCCTGCTTCTGGAAGCTCCATGCCTGGCTTCACCTAACTGTACTGCGTTTCCTCAGGGGGTTCCTGAATCGTTCAGCAGATTAGCACACAGTTCAGTTCCAGGTAGAGTCTGGTGTCCCTCCCGTGTGGCAGGTATCGGTGTGAGCACGGCTCTCACCTCCGCCAACCCCCTGGGGAGTCTGAAAAACACACAGGCTGGCACCCCGCCCCTGACCAGTGACCTCACAGTCTCTGGGGATGGGGCCCGACCATCCCCATCCGTAGGTCTACAATGCAGTACTTCTGGATTTCAGGGGGTTCCGATGTACAGGCAAGACTGAGAATAGCAGCTGTAAGGGTCAGGGACACAGGCTCTCCCCGGCCAGGCCCGTCTGACCTTGAACTCGCTTGGTATTTTGGAAGAGAATGTCTGTATCTTTGCCCCAAGCTCAGGGAGAAGTCCCGGTGGCCAGGGCAGCACCCACCACCGCCGATGCCTCCCCGCCTTGCCCAGAGCAAGAGGGGCGCCCTTGTTCGTCCCCGAAGAGCAGTTGTGGGGCAAGCCGGCCACGCGCCAAGGAAGTAGGGGAGGCGTGTCCTGTGTGGGGTCCTAGAGGCCCCTTTTCTTCATCCCAAAAGGGAAAGAACAGGTTCTAGAGAACTGTGGGGGCCGCCCCTTGGTGGGAACTCTTTGAGAAGGTTCTAGAGAACTGTGGGCGCCGCTCCTTGGTGGGAACTCTTTGAGAAGGTTCTAGAGAACTGTGGGCGCCGCTCCCTGGTGGGAACTCTTTGAGAAGGTTCTAGAGAACTGTGGGCGCCGCTCCCTGGTGGGAACTCTTTGAGAAGGTTCTAGAGAACTGTGGGCGCCGCTCCCTGGTGGGAACTCTTTGAGAAGGTTCTAGAGAACTGTGGGCGCCTCTCCCTGGTGGGAACTCTGAGAAGCTCCTGGGAGGAGAGGGGAGCTTAGGCTCCAACGGCCACATCAGCTCGGCCGCGTGAGCTCGGGCAAAGTGCCCTCATCTGTAGAGGGCAGTAAGCCAGAGGTGCTCAGCCTTGCACATGGGAAGATACAATACTTGGGCAAAGGGACCAAGCAGGGCCATGGCAATGAGTCCACCACTCTTCCCAGGGTGACACATTTCCTGGGTGGTACTGGGTTTGTGCTCTGAGCCCCTAACAGCCAAGTGGGGGAGGGTGGTAATGGGACCCAGTGGGAGCCCCGGGAGCAGGGGGCCAAGCACCGTTGTCCAAGCTGTCCACTGCACAAGAGCGCCTGGATGAGACGGCTAACGGGAGCTGAAACCCAGCCTTCACTCTGCTCATCAGCGCATGCCGAGCACCGGTTCCGTCGGCCTCGAGGAAGCGTCATAAAGGACCTGTGTGGGCTGGTGACGGCTGCTTCCCAGATCCGGACCACCTGCTTCAAGCCCCCTTCCCCTGCGCAAGTTCTGTCTTGGCCACGATGCCACGTTCAGGGTGAGCGAGCCCAGAGACCAGCAGCCAGCAGGACCGCGGGGACCCAGGCAAACCTGAGGACACAGGGTCTGGAGCTCCCTCATCTGCCGTGGAAGGACGCCAGGCGGTGCCGAGAGGGCGGTCAGAACGGGGCGGTGCACAGCGAGTGGGTCCAGCGAAGGTGCTAGTCGCTACTCTGTTGTTCTCGGGAAGCCAGCGGGGGGCAGGCGCAGCACCGAGCCTCAGGTCACCTTCTCTGCGCTCAGGGCAGCTCCCTCGGCCCCATGTCTGCCCCCTGTCCAGCCGTGCTGACGCTGGACGCCTGCGCGCTGAGGCCGAGTCAGCCTCGGTCTCGCTCGGGCGAACCTCACTGCGCTGCTCTAACCCTCGGAGGGAGCCCGCCCCGCCTCACCCTGCGCGCACACGCCAAGAACCTGGGACTGTCCGAGCCTGGCTACTGGCACGTTTGGTCGCCGCGAGGGAGACATCTGGGCCGCAGCCGGGGGCCCCTGTGCTCAGCTCCTTCCCCCGGACTCCCGGGGCCCGTACGGAGGCGACCACCACAGGCCTTCACGCGGGCACAGACCTCTTGGGGGGCGCTGGCCGGGGCCCCCGCTTCTGCGTCCAGGGTGGAGATGCACTCTCTCTCCCCCTACCCCCCACGCCCTGCCCCTTGTCTGCCCCATTCTGGGGTTCTGACCTTTTCCCGATGAGCCTGACGGGGCCTCAGACCCCCCATCTCCCCCCCGCCCCGCCCTGTCTGAATCTTGGCCGTACAATCCCAGCTGCCCTTTCTTGGGGACGGCAAAGCGCAGGGGAGGCAGCACCCGCCGCCCTCCTCAGCCGTCCTGGGCTGGAGGCTCACTTATGGGAAGAGGACTTAGGGCCCAACTGGCATCTTCTGGAGAGAAGACTCCAGACGGGCCCGGGAGGGGGGCGCTGTGATTCAGCGGGAGCAGGACTCTCTCGGTCCTCACGTGAACGGCAGAGTCTCCTTCTGCGAGCCCAGCCCCCCCAGCCTCTGGGGGGGGGGGGGCAGGGGGAGCCCAGGGCTGCTGCTTCTCGGGTCCGGGCCGTGCGCTCACCAGCCGCATTTTTCCTGCCCACGGACGCTGGGGAAGCCTCTTGCACACCACGGGCCTGCCTTGAGTCCTTGCACACACGCACGCGCACACACAGCAGGAAAACGACCTGTCCTCGGGGCCCCTGGGGACTCGCAGCGGGCCCCGGTCCCCAGCACACCAGCCTCTATTCCAGGGCAGTGTGAGATGGGGGGCTGCCTGCCGCCGCGGGCACCGGAAGTTTGGAAATTCTAGAGCACAGTGGAAGGCAGAGCGTGGCAGAGGCGGTTGGGTCCCTCGCTGCTCCCAGCAAACTCGGCAGGTCCCCCGGGAGCCTTTCCTCTTGAAGTCCCTCCCTCCTGGGATGTCCCTTCTCCTGACGCCACCTGCCCGGGTCTGGTGTCCCGGCTCCGAGAAGGCGGGCGAGAACGCGGACGGCAGACTCGCTGCGCACTGCACGCCCGCACGGCACCTGGAGGAACCCCTCGGGGAACCCTCCTCCGGGTCAGGACCGACTTCGCTCACCGAGATGGCGGTCTCCTCCGGGCCAGGCGGGGTGAGCCGCGGCCAGGGGTGAGCCGCGGCCGAAAGGCAAGCAGCCACCCAGGGTCAAATCTCGGCCCTGAACCTTGGCAGCGGTGCGTCCCCAGGCACATTGTTAGCCTCGCGCGGCGGGTCCCGTTCCTCCTCCGGAAAACGGGATCACTGCAGGCACCTTCTGTCATGGTGACCGTGAGGGCGACCCAAGTTGATATGTGTTTGTGATGCGCACAGGACAGGGCCTCACTCTCGGTGGGGGGGGGGGGGGGGGGGGGGGGGGGGGGCTGAGAGGGAAGAGCGTTTCAGCCCAGGATGGAGACAGGTGGCGGGACTCAGCTCCAGGCTTCAGACCCGGGCCCTGGGGCCACCACCAGAGCTTCTGAGGGTGAGAGCACTTTGGAGAGGCTGGAGCAGGTGGGGCTGGCCCTATGGCTTTCCCTGGTCACGTGTGCATGGTGGGGGTGTCTTCCCAGACTAGCGTGGGGTGTAACCTTCTGCAAAGTGAGGCACAGGGGCGCCTGGGTGGCTCAGTCGGTTAAGCGTCCGACTTCGGCTCAGGTCGTGATCTCACAGTTTGTGGGTTCGAGCCCCGCGTCAGGCTCTGTACTGACAGCTCGGAGCCTGGAGCTGCTTCACATTCTGTGTCTTCCTCTCTCCCTGTCCCTCCCCTGCTCACACTGTCTCTCAGAAATAAAAAAATGAAAAAAAACATTAAAAAAAAAAGCGAGGCAGGGAGGGGAAAGGGCATGGGGCGATGTCACTCGTAGGAAAGGCGAGGGCCACCCCTTCCCTTCCCAGGCCCCTTGGGCCGCCACCTGATGAGGCCTGCCCCATCCCCACCCCCCAACTCCCTCTAATGAAGGGGGCCCGGCTCTCACCAAGCAGCACCACAGCCCCCACCCCTGCACGGCTGGTGCTGGCCTACCTGCCACCTCCCCTTTCCCAATCAATTATGCTTGTCAAGCCCCTGATGCGTCCTGCACCCAGGGCCGAGCCCTCACACTGTTCACTCCCAGAGCCCTCTGCACGGCCTCGGAGGAGGCACTGTGGGAAGGGAAGAGGGGCGAGGGCTCGGCCGGCAGCCCAGGGTCCCCTTGTCCCCGGTACTTTCGCTGCAGAGCTCCCCCAAATGGCTCCCTTCACCACCCACCATTTGTGCTGGTGCCAAAATCTAGAACCTCCATCCACGGTGGGAAGTGAAGTGTGCCCTGCGGTTGGCAGCGCAGCACCCCCATTTAGTAGAGGCGGTCTGTGCCCATACCAGGCCGCCTGGGACAAAGCCGGCGATGTTGGGGCCCTTCTTGGGGGGCACGGAGCCCAAGACACACAGGCAAGGGGGTAACTACTGCCAGACACACTCCCCGGGCAGACCAGGTCTCCAGCTAAAAGTCTCGGGGCCCACAGGGTGGGGGTGGAAGCAGCGAGCAGCCCCCCGTTACCCCCGCGTGCAGGGGTCTCCACCCTCAACACCGACGGGTCATCTGTCAGAAAGGAGGCGCTCAATAATAACTTTGTCCATTAACAAAGTACACGGGAGCGAAAACGCCAACACACTGCCCGGAAAAGACCCAGAGTCCCACCCTCCAGATGTTTCTCCCAGGCAATGTGTACCCCAAAGGTCCCTGTGCACGGATCCTTCTCCAGGATTCCGTGAACCGTAAGGAGGAGATGACCACAGGCTTTCACATGAGAAGGGTCGGTGCCCACGGAGCCCAGGAAGGAGGCAGCACCCAATCTGGGATTCTAGAAGCATCCGTGTCCGGTAGGCCAGGGGCTGTCAGTCACACTCACCTGGGGGAGATCTGAACACCCCAGGGGCCTGGCCACAGTTCCAGATCAACTGCATCAGAGCCCTGGGTGGGGGGGGGGGCGCGCATCAAGGCTGTTAAAGTCTTGCGGCAATTCCCCCGGGGCCAGGACCGGAGCTTGGATGCAGGGGAGAGGTGAGGCTCGGATGCAGGGGAGAGGTGGGTGGCCGGAGCGGGAGCACGCAGGCCGGCCAGGCTCACCACCCCGGTTAATTACCCCGCCCCGCCGGCGTGTCCCAGCTCGTGCACGCTGGGTAAATAAACAAGCAGGCGCGCTGGCTGGGCCGCCGAGCACCGCCAAATTAGCGATGCGGACGGAGTCAGACAGCTTGACTCGTGAGACATAATCAGTTTAATTGCAGGGCCTCAGCCCGGGCCAGGGCGCTGAACTGCTCCCGCGCTCCCATCCGTTTTATTAAAATCCAATCATTTGCGCCGGCCGCCAGTCCCCGGCAGGGACAAAGAGGCGTCTTCGGCCAAGGTCAGACCCGGTGCCGGGGGAACGAGGGGTGCTGGGGCACGGACACCTCTTGCTTGGGGCACGTGGGCCTCGGGCTCTCTGGGGACCCGACACAGGGAAGAGGCCGGCAGGGAAGGGCCTGTTCTGTGGTCCCTGGGCTTCCGTGTCACCATCAGAGGGGACAGACATGCCACAGGCTTCTTGGGATCCTTGCAAGCTGCTCTTGCCAGACTCAACGATTGTGAGCCCCCCTCCCCCGCCACAGGGGATCTCCTGAACCCTGAGTCGGGTTCCAACAGCATTCGGAGGTGGGGCCTTTGGGAGGGGATTCTAGGGGGGAGTGGCCCCCCCCCCCGATGGAATCGGGGTCCTTAGAAACAGAGGGAGAGACAGGAGAGCAAGTCACAGGCAGACCCGTCTGGGAGCAGGAAGCAGAGCCTCACCCGGCCCAGAGTGTGCGGGCGCCTGGGTCCCGGGCTCTGGAAACCTCTCTTGCTCGCAGCCCGCCCTCACGTCTAGGCTAACGGACAAACCCTCGCGGTGCGTCCACACCACCAGACACCACTCCGCAGCCACGAGGTTCACACCCGCTGGGTGGGTCTCAACAGCTAAGGCAAGGAAACCAGACGTGAAAGTCGTCGCACCGAAGGCTTCCGACCACATGACGTCTTAGCGAAGGCAGAGCCACAGGGACAGAACACAGCTCTGTGCTGCAGAGGGACGGGGCGCGGGGACAGGGGATCGGCTGCAAAGGAACACAACAGAGTGTTGTCACCATCAGATTCACAAACTGGCTCTTCTCGCCCAAACTCTACACGTCACGGGAAGCAGAAACAGAGAAGTCAAACCATCTCTCTAAGGTCACACAGCGATGCAAAGCCGGGGGTGCTGGCCCGGAGCTCCTGTCCACAGCCACTGCGGTCGGTCAGTGGTGGGCCGGTCGGTGGGGCTGCCTCCTCAGAGGGGCCCTGTGTTCACCGAGTGAGTCTTTAGCTGCCAGAAAACAAACCACTGGACCGTTGTCAGCTTAGCCCCCAGAGGAGCAGAGGAGTCGCCGCTCAGCTCCCACTTGCGTCCATTTTCCTTGGCCAGCGTTCGTCTGGGCCTTACAGGGCCCGGCTTCTCAGGTGACCCTGTGCGAAGGTGGCGTGACAGGGCCTGATCTGGAAGCCAGCCAGGCGCACCCCCCCCCCGCCCCCAGCGCAGGCTGCGTCACCGGGCCACAGGCCACCGTCCCCTTTCCCCCCCCCCATCCCCGCGCAGGCCCTGACTTATCCCCGGACACCCCCGGCTTTGTTTCTCCAGGCCCTTCCGGGCCCAGCACCATCCAGAAATGTCGGTTACGCCGGGACAGCTGCCCGGGCCCCCCGAACGCCTCAGATGCGGTGCGCGGCGGGAGCCCCGGGCCAACATGCTGCCGGCTAGGTGAACAGGGCCTGCCATTAGAGTCACAAAGACCAATTAAAACGAGAGGAAAAACAGCCCCGCCGCCTCCCAGAGCAGCCTGGCCAGCTGCTCCTCGGCTCCCGCCTCGCCGGGCCCCCCCGAGGCCGCTGCAGGCGCTCCCCAGCCCGCGCCCTGCGCCCCCCGGGCCACCTGCCTCTGCTCGCGTCAATATTGATGCCCGCCTCGTGGGGGAGGGGGAGGGCGGGGGGGGGGAAGCACAGGGCGGGGGAGGCACACGGCTCCCGGATTTTCGACTCAATTGCTGCAGGGAGAGATGAGAGATTGCCTTTCTGACCCAAAACCGGAGTTCACAGCTGCACTTCATTACGGATTTCTCCAGGAGGCCCTGGGAGCGACGCGGCTCGGGAGGGCTCACCTGTTAGCAGCAGCTGCGCCAGCCTCTGTCGCCAGCACGTTGGTGGTTTCCTGCCCGGGGCTGCAGGGGCAGGGGGGCCGTGGGCGGCCCGGGGCGGGCTGCCAGCAGTGCCCCAGCCCCCCCACCCCCGCCTACCAGTCTGATGAACTCGGCGGAGGGAGAGAGGAAGAGGCACCACGAGCGGGAGGGGGAAGTGGCCCCAAGTCGGGCGTCGCTCTTTCTGGAAGGCCCCAGAAGGAAAGGGGTACATCGTACCCCCCAGGGGGCCCCCTCCTTTTTCTGGGTCTCACGTCCCTTGGGGTGAACACAAGTATATGTCAGGCATCTGGGGCACCTCCAGGTACACGGTAAGCACTCAATATATGCGTCTTCCCTCCCTTGCAGTCAGCCTCTCTGTGCTTCTGAAATGTCACCGTTCAATATCTGACAGTTATTTAAGGAGCACAGGGTCCTGGGGTGCCTGGGGGTCTCCATCCGTTAAGTGTCCGACTTTGGCTCAGGTCATGATCTCACGGTTTGTGGGTTCGGGTCCCGCATCGGGCTCTGTGCTGGCAGCTCAGAGCCTGGAGCTGCTTCCGATCCTGTGTCTCCCTCTCTGCCCCTCCCCCGCTCGCTCGCTCTCTCCCTCGCTCTCAAAAATAAATAAAGGAGCACAGGCTCCTGAAGGCCAGGGTTCTCTACCCTGTGCACTGGAGGTGTCTGTAGAGCTTACGGAAAGACCCAGAAGCTCTGCAGGATCCCTGAGGTTGGGCCCAGGTGTGTTTCCAAAGCCCCCGGGCAGTCGGAATGCACAGCGCGGTGGAGACGCTCAGACCTGAATCACCCTTATCTGGCTTTCGGTGTCTGTACACACCCTTTTCCAGAGAAGGTGACGGGCCAGGGACGAGGGACGGAGCCCGGAGCTGGCTCCGGGAGGAGAGCCAGCCAGGCCGCCCTGCCCTCGCTCGCCAGCTGTGGCTGACTCCCGTGCACTCAGGTGCCCGGGGCGGGGGCGGGGCGCCCCCCCTGTACCGCTGGCTGCTCCCTGAGTCAGCCCCACCAGGAGGGAGGCGGCCCGAGGACAATGCGACAGCAGGTGAGGCCCGCCTCTGGAACTCTGCTGAGCAGGCCCAGTGGCGGCTGGGCGCGCAGTCTCCAAGCCGGGCCGGCGAAGGCGCCCCGTGGTCAGGCCTCACACCTAAAATCCTGGCTCACCGCGTCTTGGGCGCGTTTCCGAGCTCCTCGCGGTCGAGGGGAGTACATGGCCTTTCCATTCATTCTCTGCCGCCTGCTAACTAGAAGATGCTAAAAAAGCTCTAAGCCCTGCCAAGCGTCACTTGCCTCATCTGGGAAGCAGGAAGGTGGCCAGCCCACGGGGTGGCGGGGACGTTCCAATGGGGAAACGGGGCGGGGGGGTGGGAGAGAGTGTCTGCCCCGCGGGGGGGGCTCCTGGCGTGTCCCGAGCACCTCCACGTGCCGTGCTGAGTCGTGCACACGTACCCGTGTGGCCCGTTCCTGTAGCAGCCCCATTTTCCAGATCGGAAAACCAAGGTCTGTAGAGGTCACCTCCCCAAGGTCAAAGGGTGAGGCTGGGATCTGAGCTCTGAAGTTGAGAGCCCAAGCTGTTGGCCACCATGTGCTCGTGTGGGCCCCTTCTGGTGGGACCTCTCACCCCACGCTCCCCTTCCTGGTGTGTTCCGGCTGCTGATGGGTGAAGCGAGAAGCCTCTTGGGGGAAACAGAGGCGCGCCTAGGACCCCGGGCCACCCGTGTTCTCCACGACTGTCTGCGCACAGAGCAGGCACGGTGAGCCTGGCCCGGCTTCCTGGACACGGAGAGGCCCACGCAGGGTCAGCACCCGGCTCATGTCCTGGCTGAAAATAGAAGCCCGGTGTGGGCACGCGGAGCACCTGACGTCGTGGGCGGCACCGAGGAGGGCGCTCGGGGCTCCGGAAGGGGCTGCAGGTGGGGGAAGGGAAAGGGCAGGGTGGAGGCAGCTGTGTGCCAGCAGAGAGAAAAGAAGGTCAGCTGGGGACAGCAGAGGCCCAGGAGGGCCCCTGGGACACAGACCAGGAAACCCAGGCTCCGAGACGTGAGCTGACGTGCCCCACCTCCCCTGTCCCCGTCCTGTCCACGCGTCTCCCAGGCCGAGGCTTCGGCCCCCGGGGCCAGGCACGCGATGGGTCCTGCCCCCACACAGGCTGACAACCCGCCGGTGGGCGGTCTGCAGGGACGCCCTGCCCTGGGCCACCCCTTGTGCCCTTCTCATTCCTGCCCCCGCCGCCCTGGCACCTCAGTGTCCCAAACCCTGACGACACCAGGAGCCACCGTTGGCGCAACCTACTGGGCGCCAGGCACCAGCCCCGGTGGGGGGTAGGTACGGCGGACCGTCCCACCGAAGCCTCTCACCGACGCCGGGAGGGAACGTCTGATACCATCCTCTCTTGACACCTGGGGAAACTGAGGCACAGAGCATTGCAACTGCCTCCCAGGGCCTTTACTGAAGGAGTGCGGGGATGAACGGGGGTGGCGGGGGGCTTGGAGTCCTGGGCGAGTTGGGGTCCTCCTGGGAATGAACCCCTCTTCCCTGACCCCACAAGGCCCCCCGCGGTGGGATGCCAGGGCCAGGCGAGGCTCTCCGGAAGCACAACCCCGACTAGAGCGCTATGCTGGTGGCGCAGATACCAGCAGCTAATATTTACATAACGCTCACCGTGTGCACGCCAGGCGCTCTTCCAAACGCGACGTATGCAGCCATTACTCAGAGCCTCCAAGCCTGTTCCGTAAACGCCAGTACTTGCCCATTTCACAGATGGGGCCCGGAGAGGTTAGCTGGTCTGCCAGAGACACACAGCCATCGGGGGCAGAGCTGGGCTGGGAACCCCTCGGCCGGACCCCGCGGGGGGCGGGGGGGCGTGAGGCAGGCCCCCAGCAGGAACCCTACAGGGGCCGGGCGGGTGGGGGCACCGCCCTCCAGGCGAGGGGGCGGCGGGGAGCTCCCCCTCCCGCCAGGAGGGGCCGCGGCTGCTGGCGCTCTCCCCGCGAGGCCAGGCCTTGCAAGGGAAGCAGAAATCTGTCGTTAACACGGTGCCAAACCCAAAGTGGCTGCTCCCGAGCTGCAATCCAATAAAAGTGCGACTTGTCTATTTATCATCCTCCGGGCTTTTTATCACAGAGCAGATGGCGGCTACCTTTGGAAGGCTCCGCCGCCCGCCGCCCGCCACCCGCCGCGCAAAGCTCAGCTCAACAGAATCTGGGCCTGCACCTGTGTGGGGCCGAGAGCGGCGGCCACCGGGCGCGCGGGGTCCCGTGTCCCCGTCCCGCTCACACGCCGCCCCCGCCGCGGAGCTGGTGGCCGATGGCCCGTGTGGCGGCTCCCCCTGCGCCGTGCAAGCAGCAGCGCCCGCACACCGGCTGGGGGGCCCCCAGTGACTCAGGGGGGCAGGTGCTCCCGGGGGCACAGAGAAAGCAGCGAGGAGCCCCCGCTGGGGAGCTGAGGGCCGTGTGTGGACACAGGGCACCCCGCGCCCGGTGCCAGGCGGCTCGGAACAAGGGGGCCCGGTGGGGCACCACCGGCGATGCAGGCAGGAGGGTAAAGGCCAGGAAGATGGAGGGGAAAGACGGCGCCACTCAGCCTCTCAGCGTGGGTGTGTGTGGCGGTGGGGGGGGGGGACACCCAGGAGTCAGGAGCTGCCCCAGGCCACTGCAGCCCCACCTCCGGCTGGGCCTCTGGAGACGAGGAGGGACCCGGGGGTGTCCCTGGACGCCTCTGAGCCTCTGATCCCACATCTGAACCGTGGGCATCGACACACATGTGAGGGCCAGGGCACGAGGCAGGGGTGAGGCTCCCCCCTACCCCCAGCTGGACAGGTCAGGCCTGGGGCCAGGTGCCCTTCCCGCCCTTCTGGCCGCCATGGATGAGTTTCTGTCCAGAGAAGGCAGCTTTTCTACCAACACAGGGCCCTAGCTGTAGCGCGTGTGCGTGCATACATATCCCCGTGTGCACGAGTGCATGCCTGTCTCTGCACACGTGTGCACGTATGTCTGTGTATATGTGCATTCACGTATGTGTGTCTCTGTGTACATGTGTGCGTGCATGTGTGTGCGTTCATGTGTGCATGTATGTCTGTGTGCATGTGTGTCTCTGTATTGTGCGCACACATCTCCATATGCATACGTGCCAGCACAAACACGTTTGTATTTGCGCGCATGTGTGTGCATGTGTGTGCACGTGTCTCTGTATTGTGCGCACGTGTATGCATTCATGTGTCCGTGTGTGTGTGCGTACACGCCTGCACAACACGTCTCTGTACACATGTACATGGGCGTGTACGTTCATGTGTGCACATGTGGGCGTGCACACGTCTCTGAGCACACATCTGCACACATGCGTGCATGCACATCAGTGTGCAAACTTGTCTGTGCACGTCTCTTCACATGTCCACGCATGTCTGTGCACATGCGTGTGTGTGGCGCGCGTGTGCATACAAGTCTCCGTAGGCATGTGTGTGTGCACACCACGTGTCGGGGCTGAAAGATGCGCCCTCCACCCTCAGCCTGCAGAGGTCTGGGGACACGGGGCACCCGGCACTGCGAGCCCCGCCCTCCGCCCGTGGGGCTGCAGCCCCGGAAACGAAACGACCGGGACGCCCTCCCACCCCGCGTTCCCCGCCGCCCCGTGTCTGCTCTCCAAACAAGGCAGGCTCGGCGGCTGTAAGACGAAGGGCCCCCTGCATCACGCCCCTCAGGGGACCGGCTGGACGGGGTGCTGCCGGTCCAGAACAGGCCCCACGCGTCCCCCCAGACGTGTCCCTGGTCTCCCCTACAGGCTGCAGGGCTCCGGCCTTCCCGGACCAAGTCCTTTCCAGCCAGCTCCGGACGCCGAGGCCCTTCCGGGTACCTGGAAAGCCCCTCCCTGAGCCCCAGAGCCTGCCCTGCTGGCCCCGCTCTGGGATAGGAGCTCCGAGCCCCTATGTTATTTCTGGTCGCCACAAGGTAGGTACCCAAGGTGGGCTCGATCACCCCCTCGGCAGACGAGGAAGCTGTAGCTCAGAGAGGTCGGGAAGCGTCACGAGGTCACCCAGTGGATGTACGCTCCTTCCGCTGGGCTGGCTCGGAACACGGGGGCTCCCCAGCCCCGACCTCTCCCGGGGTCAGCAAAACGGGGGCTTTCCCTCGGGCCCGGCTAGATCCTTAAACACTGCCTATACCTCTGCCTCTAGCTTTGTTCGTTTTTTTGCCAGAATACTTAAGTTTTTGGCCATCGTCATAGCACGTAACCCTTACACACGCGTTACCTGGGGCCACACCCAGATCTGCGTCCACATACTTCCTCATTCAGTCCTCCAGGGGGAAGGGATTGCTGGCTTTATTTCACAGATAGGAGAGCAGCACAGAGAGGTGAAGACACCGGCCCCAGGTCACACAGCTGGAGCCAGACAGGCAGTCAGGCGCCCCAGGCCAGGGCTCGGATCGCTGCGCAGCCCTCGTGGGTGTCTCCAGCACCGTCTGGTCGCAGCGGCCTGGGCTGTCTTTGTCCAGGACGACGGGGACCAGAGACTTCCAGGCTCGCTGCAGCTTTCCCGGGGTGGGGGGGGGGGCTGGGCAGAGTCTATCAAGCCACTTTCCACCTCGGCCTGCGGGGGCCACACCGGGAGCCCTGTCTGACCTCCCCTCTTCACACAGCCGTCAGGCCTTCTCCGTGGGCACGGTGTCCACCCCCCCCGGGGGGGCCCCTCATGTGGAAGGCGGCCGCGTGCTGACAAGGAAATGGGGGCGACACAGGGTTGACTAGGGTCCCCCCAAAATTCCATCCACACGGGACCTCGGAAATACGGTCTCTGCAGATGGGGCTTGAGACGAGATCGCCCTGGATTTAGGGCGAGCCCCGAACTCAGTGACAGGGACCCTCCGGAGAGGACAGGACACAGGGACGCGGACACAGGGAGGAAGCCACGTGAGAACAAAGGCGGAGATCCGAGCGGCGCGCCCACGGACCAGGGCCGCCTGGCGCCACCAGGGGCTGGAAGGGTCAGGAAGGAGCCTTCCTTCCCCAGATGCCTGGAACCTTCCCCAGAACCCTGAGGAGTCAACACTCGGCCCCCAGAGCTCAGGGAGTCCTGAGAGGGTAAGTTTCTGTTATTTTAAGCCAGCAAGTTTGTGCTAATGTGTCAGGACAGCCCAGGGCACTCCTGGGGGGCGGGGGGGACAGGACCGTCAGGGTCCCCACGCGACGGGCCCCTTCCGGGTTCAGGGCGGGTATGAAATGTGGGAGAACAGACACACCTCAGCCGTCTCCTGAAATTCTGGACGAATCCTTGGCCTCGGATGCCGCGCACCCCTAGCCTCAGTTTACCTCCGCAGTTAGCTTCCACCTCCTGCTTCCTAACTCATCCGCGGCTCTGCCCTGTCCATCACAACACCCTTTATGCATTCACTCAACGAGCATTTATCAACCATCTACTGAGCCCCTACGCTCTTCTAGGTACTGGGGGGGGGGGGGCCGGAGAATATGGCAAAAGCCCTGCCTGCACGGGGCCGATGGTGCGATGGGGAAGCGTGACAGTAAACAACCAGACCCTCAAGTAATATCGCTTCAGAACCAACGGCTCTGCAGGAGAAACGAACGCAGGGATGGCTGCGTCAGGGAGGGCGTCAGCACGGGCCTCTGTGGGGAGGTGCTATTCGAACTGAGGCCTGAAAACAAGGCAGGTCCTGACTCCTGCAACTATCAGGCAGACGGGTGCATCAGGCTATCAGGACAGCAAGTGCAAAGGCCCTGAGGCAGAAACAAGATGTTGTTTAAGGTCGAGCGAGTGGCCAGTGGGGTTGCCAGCAGGGGGCTCCTTGTGGGGGGACCTGGAACTGAAGCTCATAAGGAGCTGGGGAGCTGGGGTTTCATTCCACCTGTTACGAGAAGCTGCTGTCAGCCGGGTGGGTCTGGCTGGGTGAAACGGGCTCCCCTCTGGCGGCCACATGGAGAAAGGGTTACGGGTTGAGAAGACAGGTGGGGGGGGTAGAGGGTGGGGTTGGGGGGAAGACAGGGAGAGAGGCCTGTTTCTCTGGGAGAAGCTTTTGCTGGAGGAGCGGTGTTGGGCGAGAGCGGAAGGCGAGGGTCCAGGAGGAGAGAATCAGCTGAAGTCCAGAGGCAGGAACCTCCTTGTCCGCGGGGCCGTGAGCGTGTGTATTATCTGCTCCCACGTGTCTTCGTGGGGGGGGGTCTGTGCTTGCACATCTGTGTGTCCGTGTACAAGTGTGTCCGTGTGTCCGTGTACAGCCGTGCCTGCCTCTCTGCGCACGCGTGTGGACGCACACATGTCGATGCCAACGTCTTCGTCAGGCAGGTCCGGACCCGGAGGCTGATCAGAAGCCCACCCCCCACCGACGCAGGCCCGCAGTGACAAAGTGCGTCAGCCTGGCGCCTGGTATGTCGGGGGGGGGTGGAGGTGGGGTGCACCCTCCCCCTTGCAAGTGCTCCTGAAGGCAGCCCACCCTCTACCCCTCCAGGCCCGCCGCCATCTGTCTCTCCCCCTCCTGCCCCTCGGCCATTTGAGCCAGTGATGGGGGCGCCCCCAGCCTCCGCGGCCCGGAGTGCCAGATGGTGGGAGTCAAGGCCCCATCGTGCCCCCTGGGGGGGTGGTGCACGGGGCCGGGCCAGGCCTCCGCCCTCATCCTGGGCGCCTCCTGGCTGTCCTGACCCCTGGCCCCGGGCCCCGCAGCCACCACATAAATCACCGTCGGGGTCAGGACCGGGTGAGGGGGCAGGGCTGGGGAGGGCAGGGCCCCTGGGGCCTGCAGACAGAGTGGCTGCCAGTGACCCCTGGCAGCCGGGCCGGGAGGTCGGGAAGGTGCAAGGCTGCCCGGGGAGGGCCTGGGTCAGGGCTGCCGGCCAACACCCGCGCGACGGCACGCAGGAGGCCACAGCGGGTGGCCCGGAGCCGCCGCCGCACCGGCCAGCCGTGGGCCTTCATCTCTGCGCAGACCCCCGGGCGCTCGGCCCTCTGTGGTCACAGCAACCTCACAGACGCCCCCCGGGGACGCAAGCCGCCTTCTGCAGAGGCCGCGGTGGACACGGCAGCTCCCAATCTGCTGAGTTTCTGGTCCGCTGTCTCACTCTCCAGCTGTGGGAGCTCGGGCAAGTGATTTGGCCGCTCTGGGCCTCAGTTTCCCCACCCACGAATGCTAGTGTCTACCTCCTAGAGTCCTGTGAGGGGTGAGTGAAGCAGGGCTCGGGCAGGGCCGCCCCCTCCGTGGACGGCATAGACGCCAGCCGCCGAGGCTCTGGGGCAGGCCCGGGAGCCGGCGAGGACACGGCCCCTCCTCTGCTCTCCCAGCCCGGACACCACATTGGCCACTTGGCGCAAGAGAAGCAAAGGTCTCGGAGGACATCATGCATGTGGGTCCCTCAGGCTGGGCTCCAAGCCCCTCACATC